ACAACATTGATAATAATAATAATAATAATAATAATAATAAATAATAACAATAATAACGATGACAATTGCGCTAAAGAAAAACATCAAGAGATCAATAGGAAGACCATAAATTATTGCACAAACAACAAATCATAATATCAACGTTACCTGACAAAAATCAACAGTTTTCTCAGAGACTGCGAAATAACCCTTCTCGTTCGTACATCTAAACAAACGAGCGTACATCAAGAAGTCACCGTTCGTGTCATACTTCTTCTTGCCACCGATATATTCCCAGAACACATCACTCTCTTCACCTTCATTCACCAATTCTATTGGAAATTCATTGTCTCGATTGATCAATTCACGTGCTATCTGAACATAATATAATTATTAATATATTGGTACTACTATATTAGTCCAACTTGATTAAATATGATCGTCTGCAATTAAGCAACCTCTGAATGAAAATTACATCAATCAATGAGATATTCATCGTCAGTCCCGCTATGGCATACGATAGAATTGCACTGCCTGATAATGAATACAGGGTGAAATATTCGAGTAAATTGAACTGATGTACGGTTGAGAACAACAGCAACGAACTGATGGTAAAATAACACAGTAATAGTTATAATGAAATGGAAACGAACCTCTTCACAAAGAGAATGTTGTTTTTTAGTGGTATGCTTGCCCATCCAAACGAAAATCTTCCCTTTACAGCCGTCATCATCAACGCATCGATAAGGTGCTCGCAAAATGAAGCAGAACGATGAATTTAAATGAGTCGCTTTACAATCGATTTGTATCGTTCGAGTGCACACTGACGATCCGTTTGCTCGCATTGCGAACAATTCCGGCCAATGACCTAAAAAGACACAACCCTTTAATACGATCATCACAACTTTTATTACAACGTTTTATCGTTAATAATTTCAGCTCCAGTTTAGCGTGGCTAAACATGCAAATGATGTTTGAAGAAATTAATAAATCCATTCGCGTCATTGCAAGCTACATCGTGAGCTCCAGATGATCCTCAGCCTTTCGGCCGAGGCTTCAACGTCAACTAGAGTGGACCAGAGTCTCAAAATAATCCTCGTAGTGAATTTGAGCTATGGGCAGGAGCAAGCATCAGCTATAGGTTGGTGTGTATCCCCGTCGTTCGATGGACACTCATCAACACAGACCTGTTTTGTTCCGTGAAAATTCGATGAATGAAACGACAGTATGATATTGGGAAGTAAACAACTGAATCAAATAATCACGAACCTCCGAGATTCATCGTTAAACCTCGCCTTCCACGTCGAATAACGAATTTTCGGTGAAAATGTGATAAGAATTTATGATTTTCTTGCTGCTGATACATCCTCACAACTTCGAGTTTATCTTTGAATAAATCTTCGAATTTCTTCTGAATATTCAGTACATTTTGTCATCACCGTTANGTGAAAATGTGATAAGAATTTATGATTTTCTTGCTGCTGATACATCCTCACAACTTCGAGCTTATCTTTGAATAAATCTTCGAATTTCTTCTGAATATTCAGTACATTTGTCATCACCGTTACTATCATCACTCAAACGCTTACTGAATACTCACCCAACATGCAATTCAATGAANCGTAGTGAATTTGAGCTATGGGCAGGAGCAAGCATCAGCTATAGGTTGGTGTGTATCCCCGTCGTTCGATGGACACTCATCAACACAGACCTGTTTTGTTCCGTGAAAATTCGATAAATGAAACGACAGTATGATATTGGGAAGTAAACAACTGAATCAAATAATCACGAACCTCCGAGATTCATCGTTAAACCTCGCCTTCCACGTCGAATAACGAATTTTCGGTGAAAATGTGATAAGAATTTATGATTTTCTTGCTGCTGATACATCCTCACAACTTCGAGTTTATCTTTGAATAAATCTTCGAATTTCTTCTGAATATTCAGTACATTTTGTCATCACCGTTACTATCATCAGTCAAACGCTTATTGAATACTCACCCAACATGCAATTCAATGAATTATATTTCACCTTACAAAAACACCCAACAACTTCAACTCAAAACGAAATAAAACGTGTGATGAATAACAATAAGATTTAAACCTGCAAACTGAACGTGAAATGCAACCAGCCCATATTGTTCGCATCTCTTCCTTGCCAAAAGTATACCACACATTTGAAATCTTCTTGTCTTTTCTCTACGATTCGCTAAGAATATATCAATCAACATACTGATGATAAAAACAAAAATAACAGTGATGAAGTAAATCTAATAGTGTGAATAAAAGAAAAGTGAATCTTCCGGAATTCTGCATCTATACAATGGGAGACTCGAATACCGATAAAAGATGAGAAATTTTCAGCAACATTCCAAAAAAGTATCGTCATTCATCGAAAAACGATTGAGGACCATCTTTATAGAACGAAACGATATAAGAAATTTCCGGAAGCCGTTTCCACCTCATCTTCTTTTGATACTTCTTATTAAAAAGCATGCCATGATGCACACCCTTAAAGTCTCCAAACATAGCAATTCACTAAAACTCTTCTTCTTCTGATAATAACTGTATCCATACGCAAATGAAAAAAAAACTGATGAAATCCAAACCGTTTTTGAAGACTTTCGTTGAACACTTGAATTTTCACCAT